TTTTTTTTTTGTCCTTGTTATTCACAGCTGTAAATTAAATCCCTTTGCCTATACAGAGTATATTACTAACTTTAAAAATGTAAGGCTGATATGTTCATTATTTAAGCAGCTACTTATTTGAAAAAGTGTTTAAATTTTCACTGTCATGCTAAAATTTGTGAAGAAATGGTTGCTTGGTACTTACTAGATCCCCCTCCTGCAGCAACTCAAGTCTGTCACTGCTGGCCACCTCCCTTGCTCCCTCAGGTTCTCCCCTTCTGCCATGAGCCCAGCCAGACTACTGTCTCCTGCTACACCCCGTTCCTATTTTTGTTATAATAAGTATATATAAGTATAGAAATACAGAATTCTAATTTATAAACATCCATGTATTTACTAGTGAGATAGTTTAAATTTTGAATTACTGATTTGTGGGATCAGAAACCTGTGGGAAGGGGCCTGTGTAATTGATTTTGATTTTTGTCAGCAGTTTAAACACAGAATGTTTTGTACTCCACTGTAGGTGACTATAACTTAAATAGTGCCCAAGCAGCCATACTACTAAAGCCGTATGTTTCTGTCTTTTACAGATCCTCCCTTACACAGCACTGCTATCTATGCTGATGATGAAGAATTCTCCGGGCACTGTAGCTCTTCCATCCCTTCCACTCCCCAAGGAAAGGAAGGGAAAAGAAGGTCTGCTCACATTCCAAGCAATTGTTTTTTCATAATTGCTGGGGTTTCTAAGCAACTCTTTAAAGATAGAAGCTAATAAAACTAGTTGATTTAACGTCTTTTGAGCCAACTTATGTTTTTCCTTAAGGGAACTGGGACATAAAAGCATAAATTTTCCATAATTGATATTATTTATAATAATTGATACCTGGTTATCTTAGAAAAGCATGCTGTCTCTTGGGTTGAGTTAAATTTATAAATGAAAATAGAGGATGTGGATATTTGTTAAACAAAGTTCTCTCTGTCCTTTACTGCTGTTCTAAGTTTTATTCTTACAGATTTTACACATTTCTTAAGTTTATTCAGTTAATTTTTTTGTGTGTTTGGCAATTACTACAAATGGGGTCTTCCATTTTTGTCTTCTGTTGTGGTTAATTGTGTAAATGAAAGCTGTGAATTTCTTAAATCAAGTTTTTACTATTTTTTAAAATTAATTCAATATTATAAATTATTAAGGGTCTCCAATCTGCCATTATCTACTAATGCTATATATTTGAAAATTTTAAAGACAAAACACTTTGTTCCTAAGGTTCTCTTTAAATGGTACTTAAGAATGAGTTATGAGTTTATCACAGTTCATCTGTTATAAGAGTTAGGTGGTTTTGTTGTGTTTTTTTTTTAACTCATTAGCCCATAGTAATAGATTTTGTATATGAAACTCTGAATGAGTTATAATTTCTTTGAATGGCATGATTGTCAGATTGCATTGCTGGATTTGGTTTGGCCTCTGCTGAGCTTCAAATTCCTAAACATGCACTTTGCACACACCATTCCTCGTGCCTGGGTTGCTTTTCTTTTCTATTTCTACATGGCTTGTTTCTGTGCTTCCTTTTGGATTTCAAATATCACCTATCACAGCGGTCTGCTCAGATCCCTCCCAAAACATATCACCTTCCTTCATCTGAGTATTTTCTTTAGTGTGTTTTTTACTCACAGCATTTATCTCTACCCAGTCAAAAGTTGACTTGCTCTCCTGGAGAAATGGCGTAAATAGAACAGGAGTGTGTTCTGTTCGCTGCTGTATCTTGGGTCCCTAGGACATGACCCTGGCATGTGGTAGACAGTGACAATTTGAGTTCATCTGGTCATTTATACAGTGTGGTGGTGTGGCTGAGGTGACTGACCTTGGAGCACTGTGTTGAGTTCAAATCCTTGTTCTGGCACTACCAAGTGCTTGACTGTCAACTTCCAGGTTCCTTGATCTGGAAAATAAGATGATAATGCAGCCTACCTAATGTGATTGTTTTGAGATAAATCAACCAACACACGGAGGCTCTTAAAAGATGTGGATGGATGGTGAATTCCAAATGCTAGCTTTTATTATTAACTTATAATTAATTGGGTTGATGGTGATGCTATCACACAAAAGACTGGGAAAATAAGGCAGGAGGAAGTCGGGCAGAGGGTCTGCACTGCAGAGAGATCAGCAGCGTTTCCCAGAACATGAGGCATCCGCAAGCAGCCCCTGAACGTCCCAGAGGTATTTAGCTGTTTTGTTCTGGTTTTCTGTCCTCCTATGCATAGGCGATTCTGAACTTAGTCTTCTTCTCCATATACCTACAATCAACTCTCATGGTTTTAACTACCTGTATGCCCTTGGACCCCAAGCGTCTCTCTTGTCTGGCCCTTTTCCTGAGTTCCAAGACATCCTGCATAGTGCTCTTGTTTCCTAGATGCCCACAGGCACCTCAGACCCTTAAAGGCAAAGCCGAGTTCCATCCTTTGTTCCCTCAGGTGGTATCAGCAAACTTCCCTGGTGTCCTGTACACAACGGTCCTGCTCTCCACCCAGCAATCCGTTCCTAGTATGGTCATCGACTGACCCATCCTATTGGTTCTGGCCAGAGTTTATCTCAAGAATCCATTTTTTCCTCTCCACACCCCTGCCACCTCCCCGCAGCCACTGGAGATTGGTCCCTTCCACTCTCACTGTGTTCCTGCACTAGTTGCCCCCTTGGTCTCCTTGCCTCCTGAATCACCCTCTCATGTTCCATCAGCTTCCAGAGTGCTCTTTCCAAAATGCACATCTTACCTTACTGTGTGCCTACCACATGTCAGGGTCTCCCTGTTGCCTGCCTGCAGGGAATAGAAGGCCCTTGTGCTAGTTTGAACCCTGGCTTAAGTAGACAATAGGATCGGAAGAGGTTTATTAGTGATGTCCATGGAAGGAAGCGTCAGATGTCAGTGTAGTGCTTGTTCTGTTCAACCTGCCCTGGACAGAGTGGAGGAAAGTGTGCTTTCTGTTGTTGTTAGAGAATCACATCTATCTATCTTTCTTTCCTTTTTGCTTTCTCCTTTTTTTCTATTAGCATATATTAGTTGTACAAAGAGGTTTCACTGTGATATTTTAAAAGAGCTCTGTATTGGGCAGAAATGACAAGCCCTTATACTTTCACCATGTCTCGTTTTTTGTCTGGAGATGGCCACAGCACACCCACAGCTGGATGCTGCCAGCTGACAGTAGAGAGACATGTAAGCAGCAGCCTTCATGCCTGTCTCTAAGCCTCATTACATTCTTTGACTTCTTCCCTAGCATTTTCTCTCTGTCCTCTGTTTTCTTTCTTGAACATTCCAGGCTGATTGACACCACTACATTTTTTCATTTACATTTCCTTCTACCTTAAAGGCCATTCCCCATTCTTCTTGGCCTGGAAAAGTATTTTCAGAAGTCAGCTCAAGTGTCATAACTGTTACGCCTTTCCCAAAATGCAGCCATGGAGCCATCTGTCTGTCACATGCTTGCTAAGTTGCCACTTCACCCTGTCTTTGGCCTTCACTACTCAGAGAACTTTTCAAAGAAAGGTGTCTCTCTTGTTTTTAAAGAATTATATTCACCACAGCTTACAATTTGAGGTTGGTGTTAAGCAAATGTTTATTGTATTGAATTGAATGAAAAGATAAATGAATTCTTATCTCCCCTAGGGTTGTTTTTTCCTTTCATAGGATGAAAGGAGGTGTTCTCTTTTATATTATTTCATGATGGGCCTACTGGATAAGCGTTTAGCACTGGTGATAGCCCCTGTAGTTGGGACTGGGAACTCAGAGGAGGGTGCAGCTCTCAGATGCGACCACGAGCTCAAGTGTTGTGGTAGTGGATCACTATTACTTGCCTACCTCTAATGTGGCCTGGGTGTGGGAGGATGTGGATGAGAGCCAGTTAATCTAGGAATATGACAGGCCTGCCCACAATAAGCAGGAATGGCCTCATTAAATTGAGCCTGTTTTCCTGTTGAAGAAGCAACTAAAGGAAGACATACGGGAATAAAAATGGAATCTGTCTATGATATTAATGGCTTGTTCTTTGGCACAGTTCAAACAGTTCTGAAAATGAAGCGAGTGGAAATGAATCTATACAAATTAGTGCCAAAAAGGTATGTAGGATTAATCTCTCATCTGTCTTAATTTGTAAGATATTTTCTTTTTATTTAGATTGGTGCAAATGTGTTTTGTAGCAAAGTTTTTCATAGAGAAAGTACATGTTTTAAAAGATAATTTTATAATAAAAGCAAAGTATTTTTATATCTGCAGTGTTTTTTATGAAAGAGGTATCAAATCTATGTACCTAGTCAATTTTCATAGCACTCAAGTAACATGCTTAGGTTGTGATTTGCAGTCATCTTGTGGGGAACTCTTTAATCTAGGCTTCTTGTCCTACTCACTAATTGTGCTGCCATCTTATGCTTACTTTTGTTTGGAAATGAGAAATATGAATTCTGCAGTTTTCCACCATTATAATAAGAATCTTAAGCATTTGTGTTTTCTAAACCAGTAGTGGTGTTTTCTTCATAGCCAAGAAAACCCCAGCCCATTAGTGATGAGTCTGAGAGCTCTGAAGAAGATGATATAAGAAGAAAAGTTAAGCCGGTAGAGAAAACAAGCACACAACAACAAGAAGCTGTTCCAGCTGTGGCACCTTTAGAACTCTTTGAGAAACCAGCCAAGTCAGTCACTCCTCAGAGGTCATGGGGCCCCAGTTCCCAGGCCTCTGCTGAGAAAGAGACTCAGGCAACACAAAGGCAACCGGTAAGACAATGTCTGCCATCCCTTTGTAGAGAAAGAAAAGTTGATCGAAAAGTGTTTAGAAGGAAAACAAGATTTTCTTTCCTTCAGTTTTTTTAAACAATAAATGTAATGTTTTTATTATACGTTTGTTTTAAAAAATCTACAAGATATGGAAAGGAAGATAATTTGCGTACAATTTCATAACCCAAAATAACCACGTTTTTTGTTTGTACTCTGCAGTTCTTTCCCTGGGTTTTTTTCACCCTAAATACAATCATGTACTTGTCCCTGAGTATTCTACAGTTATCATTTTAATGAATGCAGAACATTCCATTCACAGATATGCTGTAGTTAATCTCTTACTGACGAACAATTGCCATTTAAAAATATTTCTTTTTTGGTGGTACTGGGTTTGAACTCAGGGCTTCGCACTCTCTAGGCATATGCTCTACCACTTGAGCTTTGCCATTTAAAAATTTTTAAGTGATTTGATGAGGTAAAACATTGTGCACACCCTTGATTCATTTCCTTTGAAAAGTTGCCATGACAAGATTTCTGGGTCATATTTGTTCTGATATACTTAACATCTATTGGCTAAGTTCTTAAGTTCTTAGTATGTCACTTTATTAATTTGGTTGGTTTAATGTTTTGGATAAATAGTTAATTTTCACATTTGAAAAAATTTTAAATTACAATAAAGTACCCCATCTTTTCACTTTCCCCTTTCCAGTCACTCAGCACACAGATAGGTGACCCTGTAACTGTTTTCTAATAGATTCTTCCAGAGTTTCTGTCTGCATATATAAAAGTATATATATTTCTTAATTCTGCTTTTTACATAAATAGAAACATACTATACATGTTCTACCTTTTGTAGTCTGTCTTGGCAAATATCCTTTGTACACTTTGTCCTTTTGAGTGTGGTGTTCTGTAAATACTGATAGAAGTCAAGTGATACTATGTTTCCCTACTATTTCTTGTTGTTGTCAGTTGTTTTGGTCAAGTGGGGTGGTGGTCTACTTGATCTATCAAATGTGTAAAGGATGTATTTTTAGTATCACAATGTGAGTTTTTGTTGTTATTGTTATGTTTGTGGGTGTTTTTTGTGTTGTTTTTCTTGTTTTTTTGAGATGAGACCTCTGTCGAGCTCAGGCTGGCCTGAATTTGTGTGCTCAAGTGATCCTTCTGCTTCAGCCTCACAAGTAGCTGGCACTACACATATACCACAGTGCCAGATCTTTCTGAGGCTTTGAGCTGGTTTTTCCCCAGAACTGTTCATTAATTATTATTTTTTATTTATTTATATTTTGGTGGGACTGGGGTTTGAACTCAGGACTTCATGTTTGCAAATTAGGCACTCTACCTCTTAAATCAAACCTCCAGTTCATTTTGCTTTATTTTGGGTATGGAGTCTCTTGAACTATTTGCCTGGTCTGGCCTCAAACCTCAAACCTCCTGATCTCAGCCTCCCAAGTACCTAGGATTATAGGTGTGAGCCACCATTCCCATCTTAATTATTATTTTTAATTGACATCATGATTGGATTCATTTATGGGTGCCTTGATTTATGTATGCAATGTAGAATGATGAGATCAAGCTAATTAATATATTATATATATATATAATTTTATTTTTTGGTGAGACTGGGGTTTGAATTCAGGGCTTTGTGCTTGCAAAGCAGGTACTCTACCACCTGAGCCGTACCTCCAAGTCCATTTTTCTCTGGTTATTTTGGAGATTTGTGAAATATTTGCCTGGGCTAGTCTCAAACCTTGATCCTCCCAATCTCAGCCTCCCAAGTAGCTAGGATTACAGCTGTGAGCCGCTGGTGCCCAGCTCTTCCATTATATATTATCATATTAATATATCTCCTCATGTATCCATTAAAGCTCACATTTTTTGTGGTGAAACATTTGAAATTCACTCTCAGCCATTTTTTGAAACATTCATTATTTATAACTTACTATCACTGGACTTGCAATAGATCCAAGAACTTATTCTTCCTGTCTAATTTAAATCGTGTACCTTTTAACCAACATCTCCCCGCTCTCTCCCCAATCCCCCTCTCTTGTAGACAGCATGTTCTTACCTAGTTTGACAGTCTCAGGATTGTTTAGTTCATTTACTTTTTATGTAATTATTGATATGGTTAGGTGTCAGTTTACCATATTGCTGTTTTCCATCTGTCCCTTCTGTTTTTTTTTGTCTCATTGGTCCTCTAAAAGTCTATTAATTTTTTTTTATATAATTTTAAATATAGTTAGGTTCAAGTAGACCATCTTACTGTTTTCCATTTGAAAACCCCTGTTCCTTTTTGTCTCTCTGTTGCTAATTCTGGATTAATTGAATACTTTTTGGTGTTCTATTTTCTTTTCTTTCCTCTTTTTTCTTTTACCATCCATTTTATTTTATTTTACTTTTTAATTTCCTTTATTCATATGTGCATACAATGATTGGGTCATTACTCCCCCCTTCCTCCCCCACCCCCTCCCTTTTCCTCATCCTCCTCCCTCTCCCCCCCATTTTCTTTCCTCTTAATTTTTCTTTTTTAGTGGTTGCTCCTGGGTTAAAAATATACATACTTAAATTAGAAAAGTCTGTTAGAATCTCTGTGTTATGGCTTCATATATCCTGTTCTACTTTCTAGCTGACAACTACTTCTTTTTACATCAATGTAATTATATAATGATATTAAAATTTCACTTTTCCCTCCTCCATATTCTGTGCTATTTTTGGCATATGTTTTACTGATACACACACTATAAATTTGACATTATAATGCTGTCATTTTTTATTGAAACTGTCTCTTTTTTAAAAAAATACACTGCTTGGGTTCAAACTCAGAGCTTTACATATGCTTGGCAAGTGCTCTACTACTGAGCTATATCCCTAGTCTTTTAAGAAATTCTGAAAAAGAATATCTTTTTTAACCCACTTGTCTTTTCCAGTAGATTGTCTTCCTGTAAATCTGAGTTTCAAGTTTCTATCTGATATCTTTCTCCTTCAATCTACAGAATATCTTCCAGCATTTCTTTTATTACAGGTCTGCTGCTGACTGATTCTCTCAGATTTTGTTTTTCTCAAAGTATTTACAGGATATTTCACTGGATATAGAGTTCAGAGTTGACAACTAACTCTTTATGTCATTCTGTTGTTGTTTAGTCTCCATTGTTTCTGCTGAGAAGTCTGAGTTTTGTCATGGTTCTCTTGTATTTACAGTGTCCTCATCTCTGCTGTAGTCGAGATCTTTGTCTTTGGTTTTCAGCATATTAACTATGACATCCCTGTTGTGTATATCATAGTCTATTTAGCTTGCATGGGATTTGCTGAGCTCAGATCTGTAAGTCAGGAAAATTTTATTATTTGCTCAATTGTAATTTTTCAACCCAATTCGCCTTGTCTTCTTTTTGAACTTTTACTATCCATTTTTTAGATCATAGTCTCAGGTTCCTGAGACTCTTTGGCCTTTTAAAAACATCTTTAATCTACAAATTGAACCAGTTTTTATTGCTGTCTTCAAGTTTACTGGCCATTCTTTTGCCATTCATAATCTACAGTTAAGCCCATCTGGAGGGACTAAATGGGGCCCCTCAAAAATACTCCCACATCCTAATTCTGGATTACCCTGTATTATATTGGTAGCCACAGATGTCTCAAGTGTTCTTAGAAAAGAGGCAGAGGAAAATTAGACACAGAGGAGAAGACAATGTGAAAGGAGAGACAGTTTGGGTATTGTAGCCAACAGAAGCTGGAGGAGATGAGGAATTTATTTTCCCCTGTGTTCCTGGAGGTAGTGCTCTCTAAATTAAGACCGTCTTTCCCTCTGTTTCCTTAGACATAATACATATAGTAGCTGCTTTGAAATCTTTTTTTTTTTTTCCTAGCCCTGTTATCTGGGCCTTCTTCTGGTTAGTTTGTATCGAGTGCTTTCTTGTCTTGCCTATGGGTCACATTTTCTTATATGGCGTTTCTAATGTAGAATTAAGTTGTGTAATACACATTGTTATTGATAGGTTGTTGAGCTCTAAATTTGGTATCTTTTTGTGAGTAATGTTAATTTTTATCCTACAGGCTTAGATTGATTGTTGGCTCATTGTCTTGAAGTTGTGTAGTCTTAGTTAGAGTTGATTTGTGAAAAACCTAAGGTGTTTACTAAAGCATCTCTAACTTAGTGGGATTCAGCCTCTGCATTAGTTCTCAATTGCTCCATAATAGATTACCACAAACTCAGTGGCTTAAAGCAAAATGGATTTATTACATCCCAGCTTCTATAGGTCAGAAGATTGCTCCGGGTCTCAGAATGCTGACATCAAGGTCCAGGACTAAGATCAGGGTCCTCATCAAAGACTTCTCGAGTTGGTGGTGGAATTCAATTCCTTGCAATTATAAGACTGTGGCTTTCTCTCTAGTCGGAGCCTGGGGTTGCTCTCAACTCATCTAGTCAGGCAGGCGCTGGTCATTTGGGCCTCACACGATATGATGGCATCTTCAAAGTCAGACTCTCCAAGCTACTCGAGTAATCTATGTCCTAAGTCATCTTAAAATTCTGATGATTACCACGACCTCTGTTCTGTCTCCCTCATGGACCTGGTCAGAAACTGGTTTTAGGCTTTGTTACGGTAGGTCTGGGGTAGACCTCACTTTCCAGGGCAGGGTTTCTCGACCTGTTTTCCTTACTGTCCTCCCCATGAAGCCTGTTCAGATAGGCATTTTCCCCCCATCACCCTCCCCCACAAACAGATGATTACATTTTAATACCACACTGTGCTGCACGCCACTTTACGTACTGGACCCTTTGCCAAAAATTTTTTGTGTCCTTTCCCTAAGAACTCATCTTTGCTCTGTTGGGAGCAGTATAGCCCTGTCTGAGAGTGCATGGTCTAGTTTACGGTTCTGACACCTGCGTATGGTCTTTCTGCCTGACAGATGGTTTCCCCCAATACTTCTTGTCTTACATTGTCAGTTAGGTCCTTAATCCCATGAGGTTGCTTTCTGGTAAGCTTCATGGACTCTCACCCCGCACATAGGGCAGACGAGTGTCCTGGGAATCGCAGGCAGAGGCCTGCTGCCCTGAGCAGCTCATTCCAAGAGCTTCCTCTCCCCACATTCCATCTCTGCCTGCTCAGCCGAGTAGGATCGCCAGGCTGACGTTGGACTTCAGCTGCCTTGTAGCTGCCTAGAAGTTGTCCCCAGATGGGGTTGTGGCTTTCAGGTGTTCACCTTCTGACTTTCCCGTTTTCCAGGGACCCATGTTGCCCACTGTAATGCCTGAATAAAGAATAAAGTTGTCACCCTCCCCCAGTTTTCTGGTTGTTTATGGCAAGAAACTGTTGGGGCTTATGACACCCCCACTCCAAGTATGACTGTAGGAGCCAGAATATGCCACCCCCAAACGTACTTCATTGACATATTTCCAGCTGATTATTCTGAGAAACCCCAGGTACGGAGTAGCTGTGATAGCTGTGCCTTTGTGAAAGAAATTTACATCTGTAAAGGGAGTCCACTTAGTCAAAGTGTCTGTATCTGGAGACAGCTCACCTGACAGACTTACCTAAATTCAAGACCACCTTTACTCACCCTAAGCGTCCTCCCCTCCCTTCCCAAAACTTCAGTGGCCCCTCCCCTCCTGCTGCTCAGGATGCTGGATAAGCAACAGTCTCCGACCCTGTTTTGTGCAACTGCTGCACATGTGCAGGCAGTTAAGTAAAGCTGGCTGCTCTCCCTGTGATCTGTCTTATGTCCCTGTCTTCGGTAGCCCAGCCTAAGAACCCTGTGGGATGGAGGAGGCCGTTTTCCTGTCTCCTACAGAAGCTGAGCGCTGGTACTTCATCATGGCTGGAAGCAGAAATTTGAGCTGATCTATATACTGTTACCTTGTTTTGTTTGGTGGGTTTTTTTGTTTGTTTGTTTATTGGTTTTTCTTGGGTCTTGCTATGTAGTCCAGGCTGGTCCAGAACTCTCAATATTCCTGCCTCAGTCTCCCAAGTGCTGGAATTAAGAAGTGTGTGTCACCATGCCCAGCCATTACATTGTTACCTTAAATAAAATGAAAGTTCAGCTGTCTCCATTGCGACGACTTTAAAAATCAACAAAGTGTTGTTTAATTTTTTTGTAATATTTCATATATTTAAGTAATTTGTATAACTAATACAAAATGTAGAACTAAATGAGAATTGTAGCTAAGAGTGACAGTTTGATAATTTGTCTTTTTTAGTCCTTATGTTTTAAGAAAAAGAAAACTTTTCTTAAATAAAAATCTATGCTGTTTTTTATTGTTTTGGTAGAAAACTCAGAAAAGAAAGAACATGTCTCCTAGCAAAAGGAAGAAAGCAAGAAAAGAAGCTACAGACTCAGGTACAGAATGGTGTTTTATACTTTGTCACTCACACAAAAGTTTCATGAAAAAAATCTATTCTTAAGTTGTTAAAATAATAAATTATAAGTTCATAAAACTGCCACTTTTAAAAATTAAAAATATGTGACTTGGGAGTAGCATTTTTTCCTTAATATTTTGTGATGTAAGAAGAATTTTACAGTATATATCCATATACCTACCTAAATTTTACAGTCAACTTTTTATTACATTTACCTCATCACTTACCTGTCAGTTTATCCATTTTAATTTCTTAATGTATTTTAAAATGAATTACAGATGCCAGTACACTGCTTCTGAAATACTGTAGTTTGCACATCATTAACTAGAATTCAACATCTGTTTACAGTTTTTTTTGTTGTTTTAATGCAAAATGTATTGCCCAGATCTTAACACCTCAGTGTATAACCACTGAGTTCTGAGAAATGAAAACGTACGTAACACAAACCATTTTCAAACCACAACCACCATTGCTCTAGAAAGTTCCCCTATTCCTTGTTCATGTCAGTCCCTACCTCCATGTCCCCAGAGGCACTTTCTTTGGGAATTCTGTTTTTCTTCCATGTCCAGAATTTCATAGAGATGTACTTATGCTATGTGCCATTTCGAGATTCATTCATATTGTTTTGTGTCTCTCTCATTGCTGAGTAGAACTCCATTGTATGACTCTACCAGTTTATCCAGTCTAGTTTCCAGGTTTGGGCTGTTACGAGTAAACCCACTATGAACATTTTTATACACCATGTTTTAAAGAATATCAACAAAATATTTTTAATGCCTACAATTCTTGTATACATAAATTGCAAAACATTCACCTGTATATACAGAAGTGTATTCTCTTGCAGGTTAATAGTACTAGAAAACAAGCCTAGCTATGTAAAAGGTTTTCATTAAATTTGATTTGTCCAGTATATGAAAGACAAGATGAATTTAATAACTCCAAAGAAATTTATATTCTGCTCTTAATCATACATTAAACACCTGAATATTTATTTCATCACATCCACTCACAAAATAAATGGTATCTGAATCAGCACACTGAAAGTAAAACAACCAGTTTCTCTTCATGTGTTTATTCTCTTTCCAAAAATGTTTTGGTCTTCTGCTATACCTCAGAAATGCACTAATAGCTGCTTTTTAAGTTATAAAATAATAACTTACTTCTTGGGGATTATTATTTAAAAATGAAATTTTGAGTTTCCATAGACTTTGTTTTTTTGTTGATAGTCCTTGAACTTTCTCATGGCCTCTAAATGAACATACTTGCATTTATAGTTTAGAGAAAATACAAAGACAAGCTCTGAAAGTAGCCTTAAAAGAAAGTGCCCTGTGCAGTCAGAGCCATGAGTTTTATGAAAACTACTTTCCTTACACAGAATTTGTATGCACCTTTTTTTTGTGAACATGTTTTTGTTTATCTTGGGTAAATACAAAGAGTAACGTTGCTGAGTTAAAGGATCAATATATGTTTAATTTTACATACAAGTGCCAAACTTTGGAAATTGTTTTCCCAAAGCAGTTGTATAATTCTATATTCCCACCAGAAGCTACACAGTTTACAATATTGCTGAGATTATAGATAACAACTTCACATGAGTAAGTTTAAAATAGATGAAAAGAAGCCCCCTCTACCTTGTCGAACGTAATTAATAGGAAAATACAAAGCTAACAAAACTAGCTTTTAAAGAAAAAAAACGACTAATCCTGTACTATCAAAGAAATCTAATCAGCAGTTAAAAAATCTTCCTTTAAGGGGCTGGGAGTGTAGTTCAGTGGGGCCAAACTGACAAAAATCACTCAATTTAGATAGTTTTATAGGCAGGTCCAACATACATTAAAGAACAAGTAATTTAGTCTTAACGACAATGGTACAAAAGAGCAGAGGAGGCCTGTGTGTACGTGGACATTTGCTGAATGCTCAACAAAAGTGGAATTGCTGGTCAGTGGGAAAACGTGGATCTGTGGCAACATCTCCTTATAGAAAAGTGAACCCAGACTCACAGCACACACATAAAAGCTGTTCTAAATGGATTAGACTTAAATTTGAAAGGGAAGATTTGACAGTTTTTAAAGAAAATAATGAGTCTCTTATGGCTGTGAATTGGGAAGATTTCTTAAATAATATGTACAATCTTAAACCATGATAGAAATGATTAATAAATTTGACTTCATTGAAGTCAAGTACTTCTCCTAATCAAAAAAGACCATAGAGAAGCCGGGCATGGTGGTGTGTATCTATAATCCCAGCACTCTGGAGAATGAGGCAGAAGGCTTTCTAATTCAAGGCCAGCCTGGGCTATATAGTGAGACCCCATCTCCAAAAAACAAACAAAAAGTGCTAGGGTGTAGCTTAGAGGTAGGGCATTTGCCTAGAATGCACAGTGCTCTGGGTTTGATCCCAGCACCACAAATAAACAGAAAAAAAAAAAAAGAGACAATTAAAAAATATGCACAGTATAAAAAACAAATTGAAGGAAGGTACTACAACACATGTAAGTGATTAATAAACACGAATAAAAAGTAATGTAGATGAAAAATGGACAGATGACATTAGTAGACTTTTTCAGAAGCAAGTCCTTTCTGTGTTAGATTTGTTACTATAATGAAATACCCAAGTTTAATTGGGCTTACATTTGAGGTTCTGGTTCATGACTGGTTGGTTCTGTGTTGGTGGTTTTGCTAACCTCATGCCAGAGAAGAGGAGGAAGGGGCCAATGTCACACAATCCCCATCAGGCCATGCTCCAGTGACCTAAAGGCCTCTCACTGGGCCTACCTCTGAAATGGTGGCATGGACCTTTGGGGACATTAAGCAAAATACATAAGTTATTAACCACAGAAATTTTAATTATAGCTACAAGGAGACATATCTTTTTGCGCTCAGTAGACTGTCAAGTATTTTAGTCTCAATTGTATATTTAGTGAGGTGGTCATCAGTAGAAGTTCTTCACCACTGCAGGTATAAAGAGATACAACTACTTTGAAAAAAATTTTTTTTCAGTTTTGAGGTTTAAATTCAGGGCCAATTGAGCCACTCCTCCAATCATTTTTACAACTCTCTGGTAATGTTGAAAATTGGGAGACTTAGAAACCAAGCTGTCAGTTGTGGACAGGTTTGTCAGAAATTCTTACACATGTCCACCAAACTTGTATATGAGTGTTCCTAGCATTATTTTGAATGGAATCAAAACCTAGCATGATTCAATTGATAGATAAATTGTGGTATGTTTATGCAGTGGACTAAAATACAAAAGTAAAAATTTTGTACATCAACATAAATATGAAACAGTCAAAAGCCTGCAAAACTCAACTCTCCATTATTCATAGTCGAGTGCAGTAAAGTCGTTGTACTATGATAAACACAGAATTCGGAGTGTGGAGGCTGCCAGCAAGCTTGGCTGAGGATGCCTTCAAGTGGACGGTGCAGGGTCTTAAATGCCTGGCTTACAGCAGCTGTTTTATTCCCCCAAAATCTTGCTCATGTGGCTGCATCAGCTGGTGGCTGGGCTGGGGCAGAAGGTCTGAGAGGGCTCCATTCATGTCCCTGGTGCCGTGGAGCTCCTGCAGGTGCTTTTTTCTCTTTCTTGTGGCTAGCTAGGCTTGCCTGTTTGGTACTCAGAGTTTCATGTGATGGTTGACTTCCCAGAGGCAGCGTTTAAGGAGGTGAAAAGTAGAAGCTGCAGATCTCTTAAGACCTAGCTTGAAGTTGCACAATATCAACTGTCCTCTGGTCAAGCCAGTTGTCATCCTGTCCTCTGGTCAAGCCAGTTGTCAGGCTATCCCAGTCTCAACAGAAAAGCAAAGGGGGGAAGTGTAGCAAAGAATTTGCAACTGTCATTAATTCACCACAGGCGCTCGGGTCAGTTTGAATCTTCAGCAAGGAGGAATTAATTATGAAAAAAAAGTAGGCCATCCTGCCAACGGTTTGTTAACACTATACAGAAACTTTGAATGTTCATTAGAAACTGACTGATAATAACACCTTACAAATGTATAGTAAGCGTATAGGCCTTGTGTATGCATTCACAGATACTCTTTTGAGTCCCACAAAGAAAAAAAGGCATGTGTCTTCATTTCTTCCATTTTACTACTGAGGAAACTGAGCCCTAGAGGGTGAAGTGACCTGACAAAATCTCAAGACTAGTGAGAAAGAAGCTTCAAGTAGAGTACAGGTCTTCAGATTCCTAGTTAGCATATTACCGCAATATTTTAAAAGAATAGTCTTGATGAATTCTACACAAGGGCTATCAGATTAAAATTTAGAAAGTACAGCTATAACAGGGCCTTGTCACCAGTTATGCTGGATAACAGCCGACTCTTAGGGCACAAAGGTAATTTGCTTTTGGCTACTTCAGCAAAAAAGGGAGAACCGAGTTGACGATGTCAGTGGTGACATAGGCTGGTTTGTGAGACTTAGCCTGGAGCAGGAAGAAGTGTATACAGCTCCTCCTGCGATATTCTTTAACAGATAGCTCTCCTTAGCAATTTGCTGGGGCTGTTTTTGGTATCAGGCTTTCAGAACCTGGACCTAGAGCTAAATTTATGAATAATTAGTTTATTAAATTGATGTATCTTAATATTCTAGATACTTCTGGATGTGTACATATTTGGTGTCTAGAAGGAAAGAAAACCAGTGACATCATGGAGTTAGATATCATTTTGTCTGCATTTGAGAAAACCTTCTTGGAGTATAAGTAAGTCTTTGATGCTGTGTACATGGACTGATCAATTTCCAAAGCATTTCTTCTGTTCATTCCCACAGATTTTGATACGTGGCATTTCCATTACCGTCACGTTTCAGACCTTTCACACTTCATCATACTCTGTTGTGCATATATATGTATTAGGCTAGTTGGATCATCTCTTCTAAAATATATTTCTGATCTAGTATGTGTTCCTTTTTGTGTGTGCGTGTGGTACTTTGGCCTACAGCTTGAGCCACTCCACCAGCCCTTTTTTGTTACGGGTTTTTTCAAGATAGGATCTTGCAAAGTATTTGCCTGGGCTGGCTTCAAACCAGCATTCTCCTGATCTTTGCCTCCTGAGTAGCTAGGATTATGGCACCTTGCAGTGTTTCCTTTTGAGATGCTTGTGTTTCCCCTCTCCTTCCCTGCTGTTGGCTTTATAGTGTGTGTGTAGAGGAAGCCATGACCTGGTTGTCAACTCCCTGAGTGAAAGGAATGGAAGTGGAAGAGCCCTGGGCTGGGAAGCCTTAGTCCCACACAGCATGGACTAGCCTGTCAGCTCAGGCTTTACCCTTCATCCTCCACGGAAGCAGCTTCGAGAGTCCATCTATTCCTTAGATTGTCATTGTGAAGGCAGAGGCTACAACACAGAGTGCTGGTGGAAAGAAAGCAGAAGCAGTGAGCTACTCTGCATTTACACCGTGATGTTCCTCAGTTCTGCTCCAAGATCAAGTCTGCTGCCCCTCACACTGCCCTGGGGGATTTGCCCACCACCTGGCTCCAGAAACAAGGCTTCCATCCAGGGCAAGGGACACTATGAGAGTGTCTAGAAAGGTAAGACTTGCATCCAAAGAGGGACTCTTGTCCCCCATGAGCCACAGTGTGGGGCGTGGATGTGATTGTGGTTTTCAAAGGTGACAGGGAAGAGCCACCTGAGGCTTGACGACTGCTTTCTCCACGTTTAGGAAACCAGGGAAGAAGCAAATTAATCCAAAGAAGGAGGAGAAAAGAATAAACACTAGGGTAGAAATCTGTGAGATTAAAAACAGGTGCTGTGCTAGAGGTGTGGCTCAAGTGGGCCTAACAAATGCAAGGCCCTGAGTTCAAACCCTGGTACCCTAGTACTGCAAAGAAAGAAAGAAGGAAAAAAAACCTGGAACTCAGTAGAGAAAATCAACAATTTCAGAACCTGGTTCTTTGAAAAGGTCATTAAAATCAAAAAGTTTCTGCCCAGACTCAGCAAAAAACCAAGAGAGGACACAAATTACCAATATCAGAAATAGGGCAATGAGTACATGCATAAATAGGAAAAGGATAATAAATTTACATGCCTGTAAATATAACTTAGAGTAAATGGACAATTCTTGAAAGACACAATCTGCCATAAAAACACAAGAAATAGATGGTCTGAAATGGTTTCTCTTTATTTCCCATGAAAATAGATGGAAAAATTCTCAGCAAAATATTAGCAAATTGAGGGGCTAGGGGAGGAACTTCAGCAGTAAGAGCACCTGCCTAGCAAGCGTGAGACCCTGAGTTCAAACCCCAGTGCCACCAAAAAAAAATTCAACAATGTCTGAAAGAGAATTTTATATATATGACCAAGTGATTTATCCAAGGTATGCAATTGTACTTTAGAAAGTAAAGTAATTCATCGCAGCAACAGGATAAAGAAGAAAAGTTAATAGATTTAGGAAAAACATTTACCTATTCATGATTTAAAAAAAAAAAAAAAACCTCAGTAAAATGAGGTACAAAGGGGAACTTCCTGAACTTGATAAAGAATATTTACAAAGAAGTTATAGTTAACATTATACTTAATGATGAGAAACTAGAAGCATTCTCACCATGATCAGAAATAAGGCAAGGATATCCTCTCTCACTGTTTCTTTCCAACATCATACTGGAAGGAATTCCTAGTTGATGTAATAAGACAAGGAAATAAAAAGTGTACAGCTGAAAAAGAAGAAATAAAACTTTAATCTTTGTTCTCAGATGACATGATTATTTATGTAGAAAACCTGAAAGAATAGACAAAACATCCTGGAACTAATACTTGATTACAGCTAGGTTTGCAGGATACAAAGTTAAGATAACAACAGTCAGTTGATTTCCTATAGCCCAGCAAGGAACAAGCAGAATTTGAAATTAAAAGCAATACCATTTATTACTAGCAGCCCCCCACATAAGATACTTAGGTATAAATCTAACAAAATCTGTATAAGAATTATAAAAAGAAAACTACAAAACTGATGAAAGAAACCAAGAAAGAACTAAAATAGAGAGTCTGTTTATGGATAGGAATACTCAATATTGTCAAGAAGTCATTTCTTCCCAACTTGACCTGTAGATTCCATGCAATCCCAATAAAAAGTCCCAGCATGTTGTTTTGTGGATATCAACAAGCTGATTATAATCTTTACATCGAGAAACAAAAAATCAAAAATAGCAAGAGCCATACCAAAGGAGGACAAAGCTGGAGGACTAATACTATATGACATCGAAACTTATAATGAAGCTTCATTAATCAAGGTAATGTGACACTTGTAAAAAGAACAGACAAATAAGTCAGTGGGCCATAATAGCCCAGAAGTAGATACACATAAGTAGTCAGGTAATCTTTGACAAAGGAGCAAAGGCATTACAATGAAGACCAAAAGTCCTTTCAACAAATGGTGCTGCAACAATGGACCATTCATATACAAAAAATGTAGACACAGATATTGTACCCTTATCAAAAATTAACTTAATGGATCACAGACCTAAATTTAAAATGCAAAACTGTAAAACTCCTAGAAGACATTATGGCAGAAAACCCAGATGACCTTGGTTTTGACAACAACTTGATAATAACACCACGACTACAGTCCACAAAAGAATTGATAAGCTGGACTTCAATAAAGTTAATAGTTTTTCTCTATGCAAGAGACTTTAAAGAATGAAAAAAACAAAACAAGAAAACCCTAAAAAACCCCAAGGAACAGAATGGGAAAGAATATCCAAAATGCTCAAAATATACAAAGAACACTAAAACTTAATAGTAAGAAGACAGCCCAATTCAGTAATGGGCCAGAGACCAGGCAGAGTGCTGCTGCAGCCAGTTGCTGTGGGTCTGCCTTCACAACGAGTGTGCCATCTCTTCTCTCTGATGTCAGGACTGGAACCAGGTTCTTTGAATTGAATTGACTTTATAGTTTCTGAAGAACTGGACAGCTAACTTGTGGTTGCTTACTCAATGGCTAGTCCATACGTGCTACACAGTCTTCCAATTGCTATCAGGCAAGGAGGGAGGAGATGAGATCTATTGGTAATTAGATCAGGTGGTAGGAAAGATTAAAATTGACTTAAGCATTTCTATGTCATTTGGTATTGCCTGTGGACTGTCCAGTGCCAGGGAGTTAAGATGACTCATACCCAAAGGCTTAAGGAAATATTTCTGTTCCTTTTTTTTCTTTCTTCCTTCCTTCCCTTTTTTCCTCTTTCATCCATTTTTTGGCTGAGACACATTTCCAGCATTTTTTAATTCTGAGGAATGGCTGTAGGTTGAACATTGCCATCTTAAATATTTTAAATGATATGTGCCAAATTGTGTGTGTTTATGTATTAAGCAAATAAAACACCTTTCAAAATCCTTTATAAACCCAGTTTTTCTTATTACTTTACAGACAAAGAATAGAATCAAAAGCTTGTAATGAAGCTATCAATAAATTTTATTTTAATATTAAAGAAGAACTCATCAGAATGGTAAGCTCTCTGTAACATAAATTCGTTGGTATGAATTTTTTTGATTACTCCTGGGGCAGCACACTGTTATCTTAAAAAAGCTTGCATGTGTTGGCAATATGGCAGTAAACATGAGAACTATCTGTATTTCAATGCTACTTTTAAACTAAAACTAACATTTTATTTTTTGTTTTGTATAGCTCAAAGAAGTCCAGATGTTGAAAAATCTGAAAAGGAAGAATGTTAAGGTAAGTCACTTAGTAGATCATTTGGTGACGAGTCATATAGTCATGTAATACTAAGACTTGATTTTAGATTTATATTTTTTAGTTAGGCTTTTATTTGGTTGGCCTTATGGTTGACCTGATGAATAACATTAATGCAAGCTATGGAATGGGGCTCTGACTTACTCAGCTTTCCATATACGTGAGGTAATTGACTTACACAGAGAAAAGGCTTATTTTTGACTCAAAATTTTGGAGCCATGACTAGGCTCCAACATTGTAGAGCCATGAGTAGCCTTGACTAGGTGGCCCCATTGCTTTTGGGCCCGTGGTGAGGTAGCAGGTTGTGGTGGGGTCCTATAGCAAAACAAAACTGCTTAATACCATGACAGGAAGCAAAAGAGTCAGGAGGGGACTGGGGTCCCACAGTCCCCCAAGGGCATGCCCCAGTTACCTACAGACTGCCCACTGAGCCACCTAGTCTGTCATTTTCCTCTGTACTCCCAGTATCTAGCACAGTGAACATGGCAGTGCTCAGACATGGACCACATTAACTTAACAAGGAAATTTGTATTATTTAGATGACTTCTGACATGGAAAGGAAAAGGCAGCGTTTGATTGAAGTACAGGATGAACTGCTTCGGTAAGGTATCGAAATCCCATTTGAGAACTCAACTAAAAGAGCAGTACCGTTTGTCACTTGGGTACAGGTACAGCTGCAGTGTCATTAAAGGCACCAGGTTTTCTTTGCACTTGGATACTCAGTGACTGTGCTTTCTGCTGTCCAGTTGCAGAACCCTTTAGCAAGGAGAATTCAGCACCAGTCTGTCCCTCAATAGCCCCTTTCAGCTCTGTCCTGACAGCCTAACTAGAGATTTAATGCATAGACTATAGAATTACACTGTCTGGGTTCAAATCCCAGTTCTGCCACTTACTGGCTGTGCAACATTCAGAAAGTTACTTCACTTCCCAGTGCCTTAGTTCCCTCTTTTGCATTTGCGCATAATAACCTGTGGAAATTTAGTAAACATATAGAAGGTGCTTTACAGTAACTGGCGTACAGAAAATGCCATCTATGTTGTTTGGTTGCTTTTTTTGTTGTTGAGAACAAGGTCTCCTGTAGCCCAGGTTGTCCTCAAACTTGCAATCCTCCTGCCTTTGCCTATGAAGTACTGGGATTGCAGATATGCACCACCACACCCAGCATTTACCTTGTTGTTGAAATGTACGCCCAAAAGTGGCATGCGCATGACTCCTGACTCAAGTGTCGGGGGCCGGGAGAACTTGACAGGCTTTGCAGGCCTGGGCAGTCCTTGTGGGCTGGTTAGGAAGACTGGAACACATATGAGCTGGAGCCCTGAGTAAAGTAGAATCAGCTGTGCTCTCCATTTTTTTTTTTCTCATTTTTTTTTTAATTAGGATGTATTTGTTGTACAGGGGGATTCATTATGACAGTTCTGAATAGGCTTACGTTGTACATTGGTTAGATCACCCCCACTATTTCTCCCCCTTGCTTTCCACTCTTAAAGAACTTTGATATAGCTTGAGAGGGCTGGGGATGAGGCTTAGTGGTAAAGCACTTACCTAGCATGAGCAAGGCCCTGGGTTCTGTCCCCAGCCCCATAGTGGGTGTGGAAAGCTTGAGAATGACTATAAGTATTACATGTTGAAGCAGAGACTGCCACAAGAGTCTAGTCCATTGGTTTCCAAGTTTAGTCCTTGGACAGGATGTGACCCAGGCCAGAATTAGAAAATTGAAGGAAATGTAATAATGACAGTAATGCTTAGCAGCTTCCTTTATGGCAGGACACTAAGTGTTGTGTCTGTTAGCCCGCTAGTCACCGTTATTCTGTGCAGTGGGTTGATACAGGTCTGTAAGGCAGCTGCGCTTGGCTATGCTTGTCATCAAGCGTAACATGCCACTCAGACACATTTAAGGACTGTTTTGTTCTTTTGCTACATACACTTTACAAGTGGGAGATGTATATATACACAGTCATAGTTAAGAAAAAGGTTACATCATGGTTTTAACTTTGCATGTGAAAAACTAAAGATGCAGAGAAGTAAGTACCCACTCACCCTCTAGGAAGAGGAGGGGCCAGGATTAGCTGTCAGCAACTGACTCCGATCCTGCACTCCTGACCTTGGCCCCGCCAGCTCAGCAGTGAGTTTCCTGAACAAATGCTGCACTGTTCGATATGAAGAACTGTTAAGTACTTCTCTTTTATAAAATTAGAGACAGTTGTTTTTTATACCTTTGGGGTTATTTTGTTTAGTGTAGTTTTTTTAGTGATACTGGGGTTTGACTCAGGGCCTCATGCTTGCTAGGCAGGCACTCTACCACTTGAGCCACTCTGCCAGCCCTATGTCTTTATTTGAAAAAATAAAAATTGGCTGCCTTTCCTCATTTCTTATTGGGTCATAAAATCCAGGTTATCCCTTTTTATTCCTGTAGGTGAAGAAACTAAGCCACTGGGAGATGAAGCAGTTGGCCCACGGTCATACATTTCATCCAGAGCTAGGATAGGTTTTACTAGACTTTTGAAGCTGGGTGAGATTTTGACAAGAAGGGAAAAACTTTTTACCTGTGTTTTCCCTATTAAATTGCAGTATCTAGCTCCTCCTGCCTTAGGCTATAAAAACCATTAACCAAGTTTACTGTTTAATTCAGTAGTTCATGTACTTGAATGACTTGATGAATTTCAGCATCCATAAGGCATAGTCCCCTGTGGTATCACTACTAACTATTCACTGTACATAATGGTTCAGAGGATTTTTCCTACATATTAATTGAAACCTAGAACTTTTCACACATGTAATTTCAGAGCCAATGATAAATCCTCCAAGTGTCCCCAGTTTTTTATACTCGTAAGTTTTTCATACTTATACTCAGTCTCATACTCTGGGCAATCACTTACTTTGATGAAAAATAATTTTGTTCTAGGTTAGAACCACAGCTGAAACAACTACAAACAAAATATGATGAACTTACAGAGAGAAAGTCATCTCTTAGGAATGCGGTGTATTTCTTATCTAATTTGAAACAGCTTTACCAAGATTATTCAGATGTTCAAGAGAAGGAACCTAGGGTAAAGGAAATGGTAAGTTCCACTTTTACTTTTCACTGTGCTTCAGAAGATGAGAGGGCATGTCTGCGAGAGTAACAGAAGAAAAGATAAAGAGTGTCATGATAAACCAGTATAATTTTCTTATATCATTACTGTTTTACTACTTAATGAAGGCTAGAGGATAGAGAAAAACCCAGAATCACTGATTTTTTTTTTAAAGGTATTTACACTTCAGAGAACTGAATTCGTCGAGAGAAGTATATGAATCTCGACAACCACATTTTGCTTTGCTATAATTTTCATCAAGAGAAGACACTAGAATATGACCAGCCTCTTTGGTTCTTTGTCTAGTCCATGTTCGTAGTATCTTCTGTCTGAAAACCAGGTTGTTACCTCATATAAATGGAGGTGTGATTTTAGAGGTTGAGAAATATATAAAAAAGACAATACAGTAGGAAAAATGTGGCATATTGTCTTAATAAATTTTGTAGCTGCTTTTGGTACTACAGACTTAGCTATTGTTATGATATCCAGCTTAGATTAATAGAAATGTTTAAATTACAGAAAAGTTATGTATTTGAATACCCTAATGTAATTTTATATAAAATGTGTATATAACACATATTAATGAATGTATATATAATTTATAATGCCTGCATATATCTTACAATCACATTTGTATTTTTTCTAAATTCAGTTTTAAAGTTTTGAAACTGATCTAAGTAATTCTCCTGAGTTGAAGATTTGTTCATGTGTTAGGGACTGAGGGACAATATTTTAACGCACCTAAATACTCTAAAGCTCACTTGGAATTGGGGATTTGGTTTCTAAATTTGGTGAGATTAATAGTAGCATTGATTTAGTTGCACATAATCACTCTTGTTTGAACCTAGGTGGGTTTCTTTTTGTTTGGTTTTTTTGTTTGTTTGTTTTTTTGTGGTGCTGGGGATTGAACCCAAGGCCTTGTGCATGCTAGGCACATGCTCTACACTGAGCTGTATCAGATTACTTTGTCTGATATATACCATTCTCACAAATGTGGTTCTTTGTGTGCCTTCAGTATCTTGTTTTGCTTCTATGGTAACATCTATCCTTTTTGCCTTAGAGTGTGTAGACATTTGGGTATATGTAAACATTTGGGTGTATGTCTTACCTCTTTTCCTAACGAAACACGTAGCACCGAATGTGAATTCTTCCCTGACAGCAGGTACCCACAGTGTCTTGAACACATTAGGCTCTGAAATATTGAAGTTGAATTCTCTAGTAACATGTAGGGTGTATACCAAAAGAAACTCCATTATCGTGTGGACGGTAGTCATAGCGTGGCACTGTTTTCAGTACTAAGGAAGCCACCTTGAAAACATGATATTTAAACAGCAGACTACCAATAGTATGATAAAATACTGTAAGAAGAATTAAGTTCTCCCTCATATACAGTTTGCAACAGGAAGTTTTAAATTTTAGCTACTCCTGGGTTTTTACAGATAGAGTTTACAATAGGAAGTTTGGTTTTGTTAATTATTTCAAAACCACGTGCTGAATTTTGCTGGGTTTGCATTCTAATTTTGTTTTTCATCATTAAGAACATTTGGATCTGGCAAGCTTTTAAGACATTTAATCAACCTAACAAATAGCTCTTCTAGAGGATTTTGGATTTTTTATTAAGAACTTTTATAGGCCTGGTTGTTCTGATTCTATCAGTTTTTACAGCAAACATTCCTTAGTTTTTTTGTGTTGTAAAATAGACATGAGGTCAGACAACCCCACCTAGCACTAGCACACTTGCCCAAACCAAGTCTTGACCTATCCCAAGCATGACTTTCTATTTCAAATAATTCAGATGCCACAGTTCTTTGAACCAGCTGGTACTCTGGAATAAGGGGAGCAGTGTAACGTTGTCCAGTGGTTCCTTGGAAAATTATACGATCAATTTCGTTCTGAGGAAATGAGTTAAAACTATTTTTCTTGATGATCCCAGTTCCAAAGTGAAAGGAATAGCTAATGGAAAGTGCAGCCAAACTGGCTTTAGTCAAAGATGGAGTTATGAGATGCTGATGTTATAAAAGTTTAGCTATTTGTGACTCTAAATAACTTTCTTTCATCAACAGTATGATTCATCCAGCCTTCCAGCTCTGTTATTTAAAGCAAGAACCCTTTTGGGAGCAGAAAACCATCTGCAAAACATCAACCAGCAGTTAGGGAAGCTCCTTGACCAGAAATGAGAAGACAGGTCTACTGAAATGTGCCTGTACAAAGAGTTCTCATCATACTGCTACCTTCAGAAACTGGACTTTTATAAATAAAACTTCTCTTTCAAAAATTATGGACTACTCACCAGAATTTAGTATTTCTTTTTCATTGATAGTAAAGGACACCAGTCTGATTATCTAATAGTTTTAGAAGCGATAGGCATCCTTTTTTTTTTTTGCAGTACTGGGGCTTGAACTCAAGGTTTACACCTTGAGCCACTCCACCAGTCCTTTTTTATGATGTTTTTTCAGGACAGGGTCTCACAAACTATTTGCCCAGGCTGGCTTTGAACTGTGATCCTCCTGATCTCTACCTCCTGAGTGGCCAGGATTACAGGCATGAGCCACCAGCACCAGGCAATAGGCATCTTTTCTGATTAGCGTTTTAAGTAATAAATTTTAATACGTTGACACCTTGTCATCCCAAGACATGTAAGTTTTAACCTGTAAACTTGTGAACTGTTTTACTTACATAAAAAACAAATTAGAAAACAAAGTGATAAAACTTAGTTGATATAAACAGGTTTAATAATAAATTAATATAATTTGGTTTTTTTTCAGTGCTGGTGATTGAACCCATACCACTGTACATTCTAAGCAAGTGCTCTACCACTGAGCTATACCCCCAGCCCTAACTGAATATTTATGTTGTCAAATCTCACAAACTTCAGGAAAATTACAGCCTGGTTATAAGCATTGTCCTTAGTTAACCTCTCTTGTAGCTTCTATAATGAGTTCATCAGGAATTTCATCCACTACACTGTTGTAACTGAGAAGACTATTCTCTGCAGCTTCAGCTAACTCAACATCTTCAGTAGCTTCTAGAAAAGAAGCATCATCACTGCCATTATCCCAGTCAGTGTCAGAAGATGCACATGGTAACAACTTCCTAGTTGGTGGTTTATGAGGATTCTTGGTTTCAATCTTGCTAATTTCATCTGCTTCATCTGCAGTAAACTCTTCTTCCTTTATTTCAGTGGGGAGGAAGAAGAGGAGGGCAAGATAGGAAGATAAAGGATATTTAGGCACTGTATGATTTCACCATATACTTCAAATATGTTAAGGTATAAGGTAATGACCAGTTCTTCTTCAGAGAGTAAAATGAATATTCTAGGTGAATATTGCCTGCAACGCAGTCACCACAGAAATGAGTCCATTAGCTGCCTTTGTAGTTCAGATGCTCTTGAAACTCCAAATTTGAAAATGCCTGCAGTTCTGCAGCAGATACTTTTTAGTATCCCACAAAGGGCTAGAGAGCAGGTAGATTTAATTTTATAATGGATAGATAATTCATTTGAAGACATTTGTGGTTGTGACAACAGATTCATTTCCCTACTTTATAAAGTATTTAAAAAATGTAAATTTTGGGAAAACTGTCAAAATATGACTGGACTGTATATTAGATAATAGTATCACATCAATGTTACATTTCCTGGATTTAAAAATTTTGCTATTGCTATGCAAGAATGTCCTTATTCTTCATTTGCACACAAGTATTAAGAGATGAAATGTTTTGGGAGTATAGCTTTCAAGACATTTACCAAAAATAATGAAGTGTAAGTATACACTAGAGAGCAGAAACAAATGTGACCAAATATTCACACATGGCAAATCTAGGTGAAGGACGAACAGGACAGTTTCTTATTCTCATGCAGTATTTCTGTAGGTTAAATTTTTTTTAAGTCAATGTTTTTAGACAATAGGATGATCAATGCAGTAGAAACCACAGTCATCTGAATACCATTTCAAACCAATCAAGGCTGACACATTCTTCATCCTTTTAAGAGACAGTTAATTTTTAAAATGTTAATCTGTTCTCAGTTATTCCTACTTTTTAATGTACTAGTTTATCAGAGAATCTGCCTATCATTTTATGTCCAGATGCTACATAACAAGAATGATTTTTATCACTTTAAACTTTGATGTATTTTTTTCAGAAGACATTTTAAAAATTAGATTGAATAGATACCAAATTGAGTTTTCTAGAATGTATTGTTCAGTTTGTAGCAGGTAACTAATTCTAACCATAACAATATAAAAGAAAGTGCAGAGAGATCTGATTTTTAAAAAAGCAAAATTAGATCTAAAAGTAGCATAACATAACAAAAAGACTTAATAAAATGTCAGACAAAAATGGACAGAGGATAGATGCAGAAGGTTCACAAAAGAAACACAAACAGTAATGTGAAAGGGTTCAACTTCATAAATAAAGAAATGCAAATTATAAGTGAAACAGCACTTGCCCACCAGGCTGGTAGGTAGTAGAAGGTAACTATCAACAGTGTTAGCAAGTGTACAGTAATAGTGCTCTCACCAACTGCTTGTGGAAGTCTAAGTTCCTACCATTTTTATGAACAGCAACTTGGTAATAGATACTACTCAATATATTTGTGATACTTTTTTATGACTTTTTAAAATATATGAACATGGCTGGGTGTAATGGCTCAAACCTGTAATCTTAGCTACTTAGGAGGCAGAGATCAGGAGGTTTGGGGTTCAAGGCCATTCCAAGCAAGATCTGGGCATGGTAGTTCACACCTGTTATCCCAGCTACACAGGAAGCATAAATAGGAGGATCACAGTCCAGGCCCACTGGGCATACGAGAGCTTGTTCAAAACATGCTTAAAGCAAAAAAGGCTGGGGGCACAGTTCAAGTAATAGACCACCTGCCTAACAAGTACAAGGTCCTGAGTACGAGCCCCAGTAATGCCCTCCCAAATACACATACATGTATATGTATATGTATATATGTATGTGTGTCTGTATATAAGCATATATGAATTATGGAAGACACATGCTAAATGCTTCACATCAAGTTTGGTCAAATTATGCATGGAGAGGTTTTTTCCCCTTTTGCTTTTTATGTATCTTCCATTTTTCCCTACAATGATTGTGAATTATTTGGGTAAATAAAAGTCTTTTTTAAAAAAAGTTAAATGTTAGTTTGGCAATCTGGTAATACCTACTAAAATTTACATTGCATAGTCCCTTTGACACAGTTCGACTTCCAAAACTTCTTGTATAGAAATAGTTGTTCAAAGAAACATAAAGGTGGGTATTTTGGTTTACTTTGTAAGGTAAAAAATGAGAAATGTTTTAAATTCTTGGCTTAGTTACACTGATTATACAACTTCCTGTTTGTGTTGAGCTGGGAAGATCACTACATTACATCCCAAAGTGATAACAGGCACCAAACACTGTTTAGAAACTATCTGGCCAGGCATGGTGGCCACACCTATAGTCTCTGCACTTGGAAGGCTGAGGCAGGAGGATCACAAGTTCAACACAAGCCTGGGCTGCACAGCAAGAGCTTGTGTCAAAAAACCAAAATATCTGGACATAGCTGGATACTGCTTGCAGGTCATTCATGCTACTGTACCAAACACTGGTGAGTAATGCAAAAGACAAAAAGCTGCACTTACTTCTTTGAGAAGAAACAGGAGAGTTACCTCAGCAGGGAGTGGAAAACCTAAAATCAAAAGATAGTAAAACTTTTTTATACAGATACCTAATCTAATTTTTACTTTGTGGTAAATGTAAAAATTAGAACTCACAGTCAGATTTGAAGTTTTCTGCTTTACATACAGGGTCATGACATTTTTGATACCAAACTTCATTTTTCAGATCAACCACAATCCTTCATGTATAAAGAAAAAAAGCATTAATACCCACACTGGATAGAAAAGAAAATTCAGTTCTGTTTGTCTATAAGAAATGTGTCTAAGACCTCAAGATGGAGAAAAACTGAAAAAATAAAAGGATGAAAATAGGTACACACCAACCAAAAGAAAACTGGTTGCTAAAAATATCACAGGAAGCGCATTTCTGGGCAAAGAAAAGCAGGTGTTGACCAAAGATCCCGGTGGCGGATACAGCCATCCTCACCCCATAGCTACAATAATACAGCTTCAAAGGATGTCAGCAAAACAGAGCACCATCAGAACAGCAAATCTACCACAATGACAATCTTCCACCATAAGTCAAGATTTCTAAGAACATACTTTTCGTAATTTATAGATCAAATAACCACCAAAAAGGTTCAAGAAGGATGCAGAAAATATGAATGACACAATCTAAAATTAATAAATTTGGCCTAATAGAGCATATATGAAGCAACTCTTTGTAATCATAAACCAGAATTGACTCCATGTGAATCTTACCAAATTTGAGGCTATCATTTGAGACAGAACACATTCTCTGACCACAAGGCAGATTTTACAAAGAAATAAGAAACCCGTAATGTGGAAATGAGAAACATTTCTGAATAACCAATGGCTCAAGTACAAATAATGGAAATTAGAGAACGTTTAAACTTGAATGGAGGGAAATTACTACATACTGAATAATGTGGAATGCAGCCAAAGTGACCTTTTTTGGGGCGTGGTAGTGAGGCTCTGAACTTAGAGCTCTGGGCTTGCTAGGCAAATGTCCTGTGACTTGAGCCTCAGCCCTTTCTGCTTGTTATTTTCACATAGGGTCTTGCTTTTGCCTGGGCTGCCTTGTTGCATAGCCCTACCTTCACCCCTGCATAGCTGGATTACAGATGGGAAACACCACCTCTTGCCTGTTGAATGAGATGGAGTCTCTTAACTTTTTTGTCTAGGCTGCCCTCAAACTGTGATCCTCCTATTTCCACCTCCCAAGTAACTAAACCAGCACTTAAAGTAATCTCTAGAGGGAGGTAATTTTCAAAGCTTATGTTATGAAAGAAGAATGGATAAAGGTAGATGAAAAATGAACGCCAGAATAAACCCTAATAAAATAAAAGATAGGAAATAATAAAGAGCAAAAGCTAAAAAGAATTAAGGCCAAAATCTGAAGTGTAATGAAAATTATTGCAAGATTAACCAAAAATAATAAATGCTGTTAAGAATGTTTGGCAGTAACTTCAAAAATTTTGGCAAAATAGACAAAGTACTAAATAGAAATATATATACTAAACAGAAATATAACAAGACCTAAATAGTCTTATAACCACTAAAAATTAAATTATTAAATATTTAATTAGTTTAAAATCTTCCTATATTCCATAGCAAACAAAACAAAATGGCCTTCCACATGGAAGTGGGAGGGTGGGGGTAGTAAAGGACCTGTATTCAGGAGAGAAAAAGGCATGTGGCTTGGTCTAATTGCCTTGTAAGTGGCCCTGTATCAGGCTTCCTGATAGACTAATGCTGCAGTTCCCAAGCTGCTCACCAACTGTCCAGAGCCAGTGAGACACGAAAATCTAAACAGCCCAGGGATACTTGGCATTTGCCAGGCACCCCGGAAATTGCTTGCTTGCAGTTCCCGTCTTCAACATTACATTGTACTTTATTCCTTTAAGTGATGTCCCATCCTTGAAGAGCTAGGATTTTTGGTGGTGGTTGTGATTAAAAGAAAAAAAAAAGTTATCAACATCAAGGTAGAGCAAGACAAGAGGTGGAGGTGATGGTGCTGTCTGATTCCAGGGTATAAAAGCTTACGCAGTCCCACAAAAGGCACTCATCCCATTAACAAGTAGGAGTATTTAAGAATAAAAGAGAATTATTTTCTTCCAATTAATAGTCTTTCAATATTATCTTTCAAACAGCTGCTAAATTGTTAGGACATTACCAAGTGGCTTGAAAGTAACTAACAGAACTCTTGGGTATTTCTTTTGGCCTTGGAGCAAACATGAAAATATTAAGGCACTGGGACCATAAACCAAGAAAATTTGGGGGATTGGTGATGCAGTTCAAGTGGTAGAACACCTGCCTAGCAAGTGTGAGATCGGAGTTCAAACCCCAGTACTGCCAAAAAAACAAAAAATTGGGGAGCTCTGAATCAAATGCTAGGAGAACAGTCCTCACTTATAGAATGTTCTTCAGAGGATGTTTCTGATTTTTAGGATTGTGAATGGTAAATAAACCTAGGATTTAGGATTTATGACATTTCCATGGTTCCCTGGAAATGTCACTATGTAACCACATGAGTGTATTTATACTGTGAGTGGGGATTTGCTCACACTGCCTCAGGTACCAACCTACATCAGAGCCACAGTGCAGGAAGGACAGGAAGCTGTGCAGGTGGCCCAGCCTCACTCTGCTTGAGCCTTTCTATTCCTGGTATGCTCAACAGTATTAGTAAAGCTTGATACTGAGTAAGATCTGTGATTTGTGTGACTGCGATTTGATACGCTAAACACTCAACTTCATTAGTAATCATGAAAAACATATCATTTTATACCTACCACATTAACAAACAAAAATTTAAAACTTCACATTATCAAAGTGTTGGTGAGAATATGGAGCAGTAGAAAAATCTCAAAACACTGCTGGGAAAAAAAACCCTTTGCTGGCTTGCTGGTAGAATAAGTTAGCTCAGCCATTTGAAAAAACGATTGTCTCGTGAAATTAAATGTGTACACACTCGATGACCCGGAAATTCCACATGAGACACACATTTTGAGAAACTCTTGCACATGCGTATCAGGCAATATGTACAAGAAGGTCCAAGATGGCAACTCAGATGTCCTTGTAGGATAACAGATAAAATGTGGTGTATTTATGTAACGGCACAGTATAAAATAATGAAAACATGCAATAGCTACAGCTTCCAACATAGAGGAACCTCGCAAATGCAACTTTGACAAAAGAGCAAGGAAAAGGATAAAATTCACAAACATGTTAAGGGTGGGGAGTGGCTTAAGTGTGAGGCCCTGAGTTCAAACCCAAGTGCCGCCAAAAAAAAAAAAAGTTCAGTGACTTAACTGTTTTAGGGATACAAACATATAGAGAAAAGTCATCAAGAAAAGAAAAGCAAGGGGAAAAACTAACACAAAATCTATAATAATGGCTATTATCTCTGAGGAACAAAGAAGAGGAAATTGGGGTCGAGCCCACCAGGTGCTTTTGAAGTTTGATATCTTAAGGTAGAGAGCAGAAACTACAGGTGGTCATTTTAGTGTTAGTCCTTAAAATATAAATAATACCTTATATATACATTTATATGTATGATACAGTTCACAGTTGAAAAGCAAAATAGATTAGGGCCGGTGGGGTGATGCACACAAGTGATCCCACGGATAGAGACAGGAGGACTGTGGTCAGAGGCTGCCCAGGCAAAAGGGCAAGACCCTCTCTGAAAAACTAAAAGCAAAAGGGCTCATGGTAGCATGCTCTGAATTCAATTTCTAGTACCTCCAAAACAAGTAAGAAAAGCAAAATAAATCATGTATACATAATACAATTTGGTATAATTGCTGTATGACAATGAATTTTGGTAAATTAATATTTATTTTAAAAAGATTAGGAAGAGAGGCCAAAATGGTAACTATAGTTACCACTAGGTTGTGGGACTATGGGTGATTATTACTTCATGTTTCTTTATGGTAGTTTTGTGTACTGAGCATATACTTTGTTTTTTTTTTTTTGGTACTGGGGCTTGAACTCAGGGCTTTCATCTTGAGCCACTCCACCAGTTCTATTTTTGTGAAGGGTTTTTTGAGATAGGGTCTCGTGAATTATTTGCCCAGGTTGGCTTAGAACTGTGATCCTCCTGATCTCTGCCTCCTGAGTAGCTAGGATTACAGGCGTGAGCCACCAGCTTGATGCTTTTGTTTATTTTTTTTGTCTGAATTAATCTAAGCATATCAAGTACAGCACTGAATCATACTACCCACCAGGTTTTCTAGCATAATCCTGATGATCACTTCCTCAAGTCTAGCACATGGCTGCATATGCTTGTTTATACAAGGGCCTCAGCTTGGGATTTAATATAGAATAGCAATATTTCTCATAGATGGTAACTATTGGGTTTGTATCTTATCCTTATTGTACCATATCCTCATGTTATTTAAAACTCTGTTTCTGGTTTTACTTTATCCTTTACTTTTGCCAGGAGAATTTTAATGGAATTTCTAAAATAGACCTTGCATAGAAAGCAAGCATTCCACAGATCCTGGTTCCCTTCAGTGCCACGGTTTGTCTTGAGCATAGCCTCCTACTGATAACTGACTACGCAGTTTCCTTCTTCCCCAGCCTGCCAGACTTCAGTTCCATACAGTACCAAGGACCAAAGGCAAGAGAAGAGGAGAGGCAAACCTTCTGCCATCACTGCCCATCTGTCTGTACAAATAAAGCTGAAATGTGCCAGAAGCAAGGTAATAACTAGGAAATTCAAAATATTATAAAACCTTAACCAAATACAATAGGCATAAATATAATGTCAATTTATTACAAAAACAAAAGAATATTTATATTCTCAACTTTAAGTTACATTTAAAATACAGTATCAGTTAAATACATACAGCTCGTTAATTAAAAAGATTACTTACATGATATTGTTACTCCTGTGGGCTCTGCCAATGTTGTCACACCAACGGTATTTGCAAATATCATAAACCAGTAATTCTTCTGGGAAAAAGTAGTTCCAACGCCTAATTCCTACAATGCAAAGAATGTTTCTAAAGGGACTATAACTCTATCATGTAACAGGTAACGAAGAATAAATTATCTTACCTCCTTTAATGTCATTTCTATTCACCAATGAAAGAACAAACTGATCAACTTCAGGGTAGGGCGAACATTGAAAACCTTCAATGGTTTCTACTACAACAGAGAGAAGAATTATTTATAAATAAAAACAGCTAAGAGTTGAGAAGTTACAATTTGATTAAATTATTACCTAGTACAGTTCAGTTTTTACAACCACTCAATTTTTGTTTTTTTTGGGTTTTTTTTTTTTTTTGTATTTTGCCCATTAGTCAGTTCCTGGGTTCTGTCTATTACAAGGATGCAGGTAAAATTCAATCCTCAATTAGATCAAATGTTAACCAGTTTTCACAATTTTAACTGCTTTCTTCACTCTGAAAGAGAAAAGCCACCCTCACATTCAGGAGCTGCCTAACTCTATCAGCTATACTGGGTCTTGCCACAAGCTGGCCTGGCTCTCCTATCTCAGTCTTGGTTGTCCTGTTAAAAAACAAATTCACCTCACAGAACTTCAACATCAGATAAGACCACTCTTGGGCAAGAGGACTTCAAGACAAAAACAAGACCTCTTTATAATCACAGACAAAACAAGCATATTTTCCAAAACACAAAAATGGCCAGAGGGCGCAGTGGGTGGTAAGGGAGGGGGTGGGGGTATGGGGGAGAAATGACCCAAGCGTTCAATGCACTTATGAAAAATAAAACAATAAAAAAAAATGGCCAGATACTACCCCCTATCCTGGCTAACACAGCTACTACTGCTTTACCAATTACAGCCTTAAACTCCCTCTAGTTTGCCTTCCTTGTAGATAAGATTTACTAAGTTAATCAACTGCAGACAACATTCAGTTCAGAACAAACCCATGCTCCTTTGCATACTCCCCAAATCACCTAACGCAGGCCCAGGTCCTCTGCATCCTTTTTAACTCCTTCTTACTAAGATGCCTGTGGTTCTCCATTGCTTCAAGGACTAATAAATTAAATTCACTGATTATAGTTGTGCTCCTGTGGTCATTAGTTAGAGGGCACTGACAATTCAAGTTTATTTTGTATGTAAGAATCTACTGTCATAATTTAGAATGATCCATTAAAATCTCAATTTTTAAAGATAAGAACTCTACTTACAATGAAGTCTATATTTCACACACACACACACACATATATATATGTATATATATATTTATATATATATAGAGAGAGAGAGAGAGAGAAGAGAGAGAAACAGAGATTTTGGAAAAAAATTAGTGTAGAAATCAGAAAAACTCCAAATTAATGTCAAGAAATATATCTTAAGCAACCAGAAGAAAATAAACATGTAAGAAAATGTTACACACATTTTTAATGAGCTTGTGATCACACCATACATACAGTTTATTTTCTTGTGTGTGTGTTGTTGCTGTTGGCTGTGCTAGGGATCTAACTCAGGGCCTCACGCATGCTGAGCAGATGCTCTACCACTGAGTGTATCCCAGCCCCAAACACACAATTTTAGTTTGTATTTTTTCTCTTAATATCATACGTGGGTGTCTTCTATATATGTAGGCTAGGTTTTACGGATCTAAATTTAGTGGCTATAGAGTATTTCATACTATGCAACTAATCTATTTTTGCTGTACCTTTAGATTGTTTTCTGTACCTTTAGATTGCTGTACCTTTAGATTGTTTTCTGTTTTTCACTACTATGATATCATACCAAAATATGTGAATAAAAATGTTTATTGGAAGATTTATGTTAGAAATCTTAAGGGGAAAAAAACCCCTGTTGTTCTTCAGTATGGGAACGGCTAAGCCATGACAGAGGCGTCCCATGAGACACAGCGGCCATTAAAAGAAGGAGCTCTCCATACAGTGGAAATGCAGGCAAAGTTCAGTGGGGTTAAATAGGAAACTGCTGTAGGAAAGTTTAAACAGGAAATTTTCTAGCCTTTGTGGGAAGAAAGCTGAAAGAGATATGTTTATATTAACAACATAAATTACTTTTGTCTGTTTTTAAATATCATAAAATGAAAATTAGAGAATATTTTAATAAACATCTTTTTCTTACAATATTCCCATTGGAGTAGTAACCTAGAGATAGTTTTAAATGACCACCAGATATGGATACTTAAAATTTAAGAATTTAAAGGCAAAACAGATTTTATATCTTAAATTTTGATAGGAAATTGTTTTCTTAAAATTACCTGAAGTGCTGGTTCTGTTAAAATACTCAGCTCTCTTTCGTTTATTTTGAGGTATGTCACATGTTAGAATTCTTAAAGTATCTGAGAATCTG